ACTAGTCGGATGGCGTTAGTGCAGAGAGAGGCGACAACGAACTACGGTGTTGTAGCGACGACACAACAGCGACGGAGAGCGGAGTAGCGATTCATTCCTCTCGGCAATTGGCAGGCGGCTCTGTTATCTCTTTTCTTTTTTTTTTAACAGTCCTCCTTATATGGCTTATGTATAGGGGGGTTACGTGCAAATGGGTAGTATTAGGATTTAAGAAATTAATTTTATTGTTATAAAATCTTTTTACGAGATCTGTCCAACGACCCAATTCTTAAATATAAAGGTTGAGTTTATAAATAGCTTATATTTTTTAGTTAGAAAATAAGACAAAATATTATATCGATTTTTCTCAAAATAACGGCTAACTACTATGTCAGTTTTCAGGGCATTACATTTAATGAAAAAGATAACATCATTTTAGTGTTCTCTAAGGAGAGTCAACATAAAAAGAACATGCTTCACTGTGTATATATTAAATGGAAGGCTCTAGAGAAGAGCGCAATGATTTAGGATTTAGATGGTAGCATGGATGATTATACCTCTGGCGTCGGAGGAGTAGTTTGTGATTGCCAATGAAAATGGATTGATCCTTTCACCTTCCAATTTTATTCAAATCAAATGGGGGAAGTTGAACCTATGGAAATCTCAAGGGTCTAGAATGAGCTTGGTTGAAGAATTGACAATTCTTAATAGGGTAATTTACCTAAATAAGACTAAAACATAATGAATTTCTTAATATAAGACCATATGTTTTTATTTCCCAATGTAGGACTATTGGTCATTATCTATTAGTAATTATTCAACTAAATGTCCAGCATTACCTAGACATTATTCTTCTCACTAGTCATTATTAAGTCCTATTTAGGAAATAAAAAAGTTTAAGTCCTACATTAGGAAATGACTTATGTTTTAGTCCTATTCAGTGCAAATTTCACTTGTTGATATACACAGAGATTCAAAGAAAGTGGTGGACTGGATTCAAGAAATGCATAATAGTGATCTCAGAGGAGAAATTTGAGATATAATCGCAAAATGAAAATGGCTAATTCGCATGATTAGAGAGTACAAGTCATTGATGTCAAGAAAGAGTAGAATTGTGTTGTTGATGGATCAGCAAATTAAAGATGGGGCTCAAATAGAACAACATTTGGATTAACTTTGACTCACCTTCGGAGGAAACCCATGGGGCTTATTATCACAATGATAAAGTCGTTTACTAAGCAAGTCAGGCCCAGTAAGTGGGGGTTTATCAGAGGATTAATGTAACACCCTAATCCGTCCAGGTCTGCAGCCCCTTTCAGGCTAAAGTATAAACTTGCTATTCGTAAACATTCAAAATATTTCAAACATTTAAAAACTTTATTCAATAATAAATTATCTAAGGTAATAACGGAGTAGTTTAACGTTGCGGAAGTTGAATATATAATAATTACAAAACATAATAATTTTATGTCTTTTAAAACATCAATTAATTTCATTTTGTTTACCTGCGTGTAGCAAACAAAAATACGCTACACGCTCAGCGGTGAAGCTGAGTAAGCATATCTAAAGCGTCGAACATCCACATAAATTGAATCTCAATTCATAATCAACCATTTGATATCATGCACACAATATATGGTTCAAACATTCATAATATTCTCAATATTTTATTCCAAGTCATTTGATATTCAATATATCAATAACGCTCTTAAATTATTCTTAATTTAAGGCCACATCATTTTATATTCAGCACTTAGTTATTCCTAGTCTAAGGCAGTAATTCTAACCAGACCCTTAAACTATAAATAGTTTAATGCAGAACACAAGAATCGATAATTCACCCTATGAGTCATGTGGATTACGTACCAACCGAATAATGATTTGTCGGGTGGGTGATATCCGTTCTGGATCTCGTACGTATGTTTTAACCCCGAATTATGAATTGGTCAAAGAAATATATCTTATAGTTATTCTAGATATCCTTAATAATCATCATCAATATACAAGTGGGTATATCTTAGAGTTTTTCTAGATATCCTTAATAATATACACCGTTTTCATGATCACCATTATATTCATTTTCAATCATGATTTAATCATCAATAATCAATTTAATCAGTAGGTTTATCATTCATAATTGGCCACAATAATAATTCATTATAATGATCATTCAACATAACATTTAATAACAATTAGCGGCCTAGTCTCGGGTGTTAACACCGGAACTTACTGTCATGCATCACATATCATTTTAATTTGTTAAAAACATCATTTTTATTATGAAAAATCATTTTTATAATGATCATAATAAATTGGTATCAAAATAGGATTTTAGAGCTAAAAATAGCATTTTGGACAAATTTTCGGATCAGAACTTCGGGGGGTCGATCCAGCCCTCTGGATCGATCCAAGCTAGAAGAAATACTCCCAGAGGATCGATCCAGAGCATATGATCGATCCAAACAGAGGAGTTTCAGGTCACTGTTCATCTTTTTCAACCTTCGGTCCATTTTTCAAAAATACCATTTTTAGTTACCGAACTTCAATTAAATTATATAGAAATGTTCTCCAAGGTTCATAGATCATTTTAGAATCATTAAATCATTTTTTTAACATCAAATTCAAGGTTTTTGATTCTTAGTTCTTCAAACATGTCAAACACAAAACTTAACCAAATGACAATTTATGAATTTAGAAACGACCTATATGAACATTCTAGTCATTAGATATATTTACGGGCTTACATCAAAGGTAAATGAAGGTTTTGAATATTTTTCGGCGAAACTTCCGGCGACAATAGCTCTCAACTCCGGCGACCTCACACCAATACAACAGCACCACTGCGTTCTCCTCACTCCCAGCAACAGAATAGATATAAGGATTGTATGAGATGGTGGAGAATTGAAGGGGTGAAGGTGGTCTTATATAGGGAAGAAATGGAGGAAGAGGCCATTCTGTTGATGAAAGTTTCCTTGTTTAGGCCGCTGAGTGGAGCGGGCAGCGGTCCTTTTCTGATTCTAAATGTAAGTCCCTGATTGAGACTAAATTGGTCCGAGTCGGGGAACACTTTTTGGTCCAACTTTCCCCGAATTGAAATTTGATTGATCCGTTGGAATCAGACAATTAAACTCTACATAACGATATAATTTTTATTATTTATTGACAAACTTTATAATTCACATATTTTTGGGTCGTTCTCAGTAATTAATTAATTATCAATTAATTAATTCTGATAGACCTATTTTCGGGGTGTTGCAATTAAAGAGTATAGAAATCATTAATATTGGGATTGAAGCACCGTGATATCCACTGGCACTGTAGTGCAGTGGCATTAGAACCTCTCGAATCAAATTATAAGTAAAAGTCATTCTCTTCATCTCATATTAATTGCCTATTTGCAAATAAAAAAGTTTGATTGAATTTATTTTTAATTTATTTTACTTTAATAATGGTACAAGTTTTTAAAATACGCTTTAATTCATACTTTAAACACTATATTAAAGTATCCATAAAACAAGGATGATTAACCAAATCAAGTAAAGAACGAAAAAAGTTTAACCTGTGAATAATGAAGTGAGACGATTAATTAAGGTCTGTTATTAGTTCCACATGTTGTCATCCCTTAATATTATGTTAGTTGAGTTTTTGTAACTCCCGTGGGCATTATTTTTTGACAAATGAATAGGCCTTAAATGTTTATTTAGTCATTTTGGGATAGAATAAAGATGCAGCATCATGCCCGTTATCATGTTGTTGAAGCATATGATGCATCACTTGGTCCGTCTTCATACCGTGAAGGAACCCTACTCAACGAAGGAGTATTTCTATTTTAGAAATTCCATCTTGCGTGTATTTTAATGGATTGTAGGTGTTCTAAATGGTATCCTAAAGTTTTTGGAAAATTATATACCTCGTGCGCAAGTTTTGAGGAAAATGGAATGCGCTGAGCGACTTGCTGCACAAGATGACTTGTTGCCCAAGAAGAATTGATGCACAAAAAATTTCCAAGATGAACTCCTTGGAGAAGTTAAGGTCACGAAAAAGTTGTAACACGCCATTGAAGATGACTCAAACAGGAATTGAGTTAGAAGCCGTATGTAAGATAAATTCTATCATAAACATAGAGAAGAGGTGTTACACGGACATGGCCCCTCAGAGTATGTGTGTTTGCTTCGAACCGCGTAAACATATAGCTATGTCATTTACTACTTTTTTATATCTGCGATGACACATAAGATGTTACAGCACCCTGCAAGGCATATCACACTGTAACTTGTGATGCACTCCCTTCGTTTAGAAATTTTCTTCACAAACACTATTTATTACATGGTCAAATATAAACTACTTTCTTTACCTATTTTCGTTAGTTATTTGATAAAATAATATAGTCTTTTTTCGTACCATTTTTCTTGTAAAATACTTTGAAAATAGTTTCAGTCATACATCGTAACACGTAATAGGAAAATAATTTCTGGACGGAGGGAGTAATTTTAAAATATGTAAATTTTATTTTTTTTATTCTACCTCAATTGTTTTATAAATTGAATCGAAAATAATTTCGATCAAGCAAGACTAATAATCAATTACTCGGTATATCATTATTTTGTCAAAAGACTAACCAATTTGATTAAAATTTGACTTTGTGTATGATGTACATCTCATTTAATTTGGGATTGTTTAGGAGTAGAACATAAAAAGATTAATTATTAGAGGAAGAAAGACGTGTATATATAATATATACACACACATACATATATATAGAGTATAGACACACTCGCATAGCTAGGAAGTATACTGTATATATATATGTATATTTAGCATTGACCCTCTGGAGAGCCCTCTCACACAATCCCCACACAGAGAAAGAGAGAGAAATTAAAATACGATATGAACACAGAGTTGAGGTCATCATCATCATCCCTTTCCCATTCTTCCATCAGCAGCTACCCCTCCATCTCTTTCTTCTTCTTCTTCTTCCATATCATCATCTATTATTGATTCTCTCTGTCTGTCTCTGGAGAACACTACTAGCTCCTACGTATTATATTTTCTTGCTTGGTTTATTCTTATTAATTAGTCAATAATTAGCAGAATAATATATACCCAGTTTCATTGGAGAGATGGAGGGAGAAAGAAACAGGTTTGGGCAAGCACGGAAGTGAATAAAGATTGGATCTTTTTGTGCTGGAAAAGGTATACTTATGATGATAATACAGATTCTTGATTGATGTTTTCTCAATTCCCCTTTCTGCTGTGAAGTGGTCAAGTCGCCTTTCAACTCCTGGCCTGTACGTACGGATTCGTGGTTAATTGGGATTCCACGCCTTTAAAAGGGGTAAAATTGTCCATGTGGTTTCCTATGGATGGCGGCGGCGGCGGTGGTGACGACCAAGGGGGAGAACAAAAACCAGCTCTCCGGCCACCTCCGATGGTCACAACCACAGGGTATTGGTACTCTGACCATCACCAGATTCCCCAGCCAGAGATCTGCTACAATAATACTCCGGGTGACATGGAAATGGTGGGGTGGAAGAGTTTCCTCGCCAAGGCGGCGGCGGCGCCCGCTAGCGGCGCTCCGTCCTCCTCCAAGGCGGCGGCGGGACTTTCCTCCGGCGTGTTCTATACCCATCCCCACCAAGAATTCTGCAACGCATCATGGGTTGACCAGGGGGGCAACAACCACGACGACTCTTCCACCTCTACTTTAAGATGCGTGTTCCCTTGCGAGGGGAACGAGAGGCCGAGCCAGGGGCTCTCGCTCTCCCTCAGCTCCGCCAACCCTTCCGCCATAGGGCTACAGCCCTTCGAGCTAAGGGCTGCTAATAATAACCCCGTGCCGGCGATGAGCCACGGGTTCTTCTCGGAAAAACCCGTGGCGGCGAATCATCATCCCGGCAGCAATAATAATAATAATAATAATAATAATAATAATAATAATAATTGTGGGTATTTTGAGATGAGGGAGTCCAAGTATCTGGGCGCTGCTCAGGAGCTCTTAAATGAGTTCTGTAGCCTTGGAACTTCCGAAAGCAGCGGCCATAATAATAATAATAATGGTTCCAGAATAAAGAAGAAGATGGCCTGCAGCCAATGGCAGGAGGGGGAGGAAAGTACAACCCATAATGCTGCCGGTACTACCTCTGATTGCAACAGAAACCCTTGTTTGGATTCCCTTGACCTTCTTGAATTGCACAAGACCCAAACCAAGCTCCTTCATATGCTCCAAGAGGTATACTTTCAACTTTCTATTTTTATACTCAACTTTTAAACTGTAATCTTATCACTAATCTCTTCTTAAACGTTGCACACAATATGTCCTTTTGACTTTTTACGGTCTCTTAATTAGTTGAACACTTGATTCCCTTTAGTTGCGTGAATTTAATACTTTGGGAAAAATTACGATATAAAATGAAAATAATTTCGAGTCTTAAAAGACCATTTATACATTATCAATCATTCAAATTATTTTAAAAAAGAGTGTGTCTTGCTAGCTAGGTAGCTACTTAGGAAGGAAACAATTAGTGGTTTTGGTGGTTTAAATTACATATTTGAGCTAGACTCCAAATGAGTAGATCATATTATTAGTTGCTAAACATTGTGTTGACTTGGGAATATACACACACTACAAAAAAAATGTTCAAAACTAATAGCTGTACTAAAAACACAATATTACAAACTATCTCTTTTTGTTGGGGGAGGAGCGCTATTTAGAGGAGTTTCACACATATGTATTATTGATTTTATATATATATATATATATATATATATATATATATATATATATATATATATATATATTCACACTCACTCACACACACACACATATATATATAACAATTATATTACTCCGTAGTATTTTCATTTGAAAAGAGAGTGTTGAAATTAAAGGGGTTTTTACATTATCCGTCCCAAAATGTTTTTCTTTTATTTTCTAGATATTCCAAAAAATTCAAATTATTTCTCTCTTAAGGAAAGAACTCTAGTGTGCATATTGATTTCTTATATATAAAAAAATCTTAATTGCATAATTATTAATCCGTATTATTATTGTTATAGTGAAAAGGTGGTCTCAAAAAACGTACAAAAAAGAACAAATTGGAACAATGGAAATTGTACTTCTAATCATCTCATTTTTGTATTGTTGACAAATAACAGAAAGAAAAAAAATCGGTCAAATAATTTTTTCCATGGAAGAGGAAGATTGAGTTTGGGTATTTTGGAGACTTTTAAATGCGTTGAACTAATTAAGCGACTATCATTTCCCTTGTTTTAATGCCCACATGGTTGCAAATGATAGTCCACATTAAGGCCCTTCCTTTTCAATATCTTTTCTTATTCTACTTATCCAAAAATCTTATTCAAAATTGGATATTAAAAAAAAGTGTGAGATTATGTATTTTAATTTCAAAATTCATCGCTTCGGAGGAGTATATTTTAATATATAAAGAAATAAAAAAAATATTATTTTTTTAGTTTTTTTGACTCTACTACAATTATAGTTTCCATGGATATTGTTTCAGCCCAATTACGTACAATGAAGTAATGTCATTTAATATGGGTACTTATCAATTTTTTTGTACCCTTTTCCTAATAATAATCGCAAGGGGTTTTTTTGTTGACAATTATCGCAAGGGTTATTTTTAAAGAAAGAAAAATAGTGAAGGTTAAAAGGGGATAGAAGTGTATTATTGGAAAATGGAAACAACAAAAAGCTCCGATCCCATTTTAACTTTTAGGGCTGTCAATTGTCATTATTACCCTTTTTCTATTACTCCCTAAATAATGTTGAAACTATTATTGGTGTATTAATATAATGAATAATGCTATGGTACTACAAGTATACGCATGCTTCACATAGACAAACAAACAAATGATAATTGTATGTGTCTCAAAGATGATTAATTTCTGTATTTGTCTATAATATATTGAATAATACTCCTCCGTCCTGGAAAATATCTCATAAGAGAAGTGTTTTTAATGTTTGATTTTCTAATTTTGCCCTTAGATTTTTTCTGAAAAAAGAAAATGTCAAATCATGATTGGTGATTAATAATGTGAAAGAGTAATTAAAAAGTAAAGAGTAATATGAGATGTGATGGATGTGATGTGGGAAAATAGGGTTAAAAAAGGTATTGTGCTTGTCTGGGAATAGTGTTAGATATTAACGTTAACGTTTTGGATAAAATTTTAACGGTTCAAATTACTTTGAAAACGTTAACGCTAAACGCTGGCCGTAGATAACTTTTTTAAAATGCTAAATTGAAATATTGACGAGTAAATTGACACTATTTTTCGCACTACTAACACGGAAGAGTGTCCAAGGTTAAAAAGAACCTAGTGTCAGAATAGGTGTTAAATTTGGGTACAAAAAGCATTTTTGCAATGTTTAAGATGAAATTGTTGGTGTAAATCTTAAGACCAAATCATTACTTAGTAATTATTAATGTCGGTTTGTTTTTTTGTGTTGGCTTGATTAGGTTGATAGGAGATACAAGCAGTATTGCGATGAAATGAAGGCGGTGGTTTCCTCCTTCGAGGCGGTGGCCGGAGACGGGGCGGGGAAGGGGTACGCCGCCCTAGCGGCAAAGGCGATGTCGAGGCACTTCAGGTGCCTGAGAGATGGGATCGTGACCCAGTTGAAGGAGGTCAAGAAGGCCGCCGCTCAAAAGGACCGCCCCGAGGCGGCGCCGGCGTCCGCCGCCGCCGCCGGCACCACCAAGGGGGAGACGCCGAGGCTCAAAATACTGGACCAAGCTCTCCGGCAGCAGAAGGCGTTTCAGCAAATGAGCATGATGGAAGCACACCCGTGGCGGCCGCAGCGCGGCTTGCCGGAGCGGTCCGTCTCCCTCCTCCGCGCTTGGCTCTTTGAACACTTCCTTCACCCGTACGTATTTGCCTTTACCCTTCAATTAATTACTACTCTCACAATGGTTGTTTAGATTGATTTTATCAAATTAAATCAGATAAACTTTAATAATCAGTTATATTAAAATTAGATCTCATATTAATTCAATAAAATGAAGTTTTGATAATGTTTTGCAAAATTAATCCAATGATCATATCTATTTTCTACTAATACTCAATATAATTTTTATTTAATTGATCATTAAAACTTGTATAGTTTGACTATGGTTTGACATGGAATAATCAAACTAGACAAATCATCTGGAATGAAGGTACTATATTTTATTCCAAAAATTATTACCCAATTTGGTTTCAGTATACATTTTTTATAGCATAAATACCTTTATAACTAGGGTTAAAATATACATATATACTTTAGTGTATTAAGTATGTGTTTAATACTAAAATACTTGGTAGGAATTATAGTGTCAATAATAACGTACATGTCAAAAAAATCACACACAAAACACGAAATTAATCTCACGCGCATATGTGCATATTAGTATGTGTGTCTATGTATATATATATATATATATATATATATATATATATATATATATATATATATATAGGTATGTAATAATAAAAATGGAGTGAGATTCAGGTTTGGGTAAAACTTGTACTATTCTTTTTTCTCATTTTCCTCTCTTTCTCGTACTTCCCCATTCTCTTTTTTCAAACTTTATTTTTATGCTTATTTTCGATAGTTATTTGATAAAATAAGATAGTTTTAATGTAGAAATTTTGATGTAGTTATAAAATCAAATAAAAACTTTATTTTTATTTAAAATTTATAGCTATAATCAAATAAATTAAATTAAAAATAATATTATTCAAACTTCGTAAAACGGTCATTTTAGAACGGATGAAATAATTAAAGTTTGTTTTGTTATCTGAATTTATGGGAGGCAGTCCTTATTATTTACAATATTCATTTTGACCTTCAAATTAAATGGGAAACACCGAATATTACTTCATTTTGTTACCAAAGGATATATTTCACTCAAAGTAGAAGGAAAGTTTGATGGGAGAGAGTAGAAAATTAATTGATCAAGTCAATGCATTTTTTTGGTTTCTTTTCTTTGTCTTTTGTTTATTGCGAAAAGTTTGGTTTGAATTATTTGATGTTGAGTTATATGGTGGGATATGGTACGTACAATAATGTATTCTCATCAATCATTGTTGAATTTTAACACTACTTGGCCCTTTTGTCAAATTTTACAAATTTTAATTATAAATTATGAAAAAATTACGTTATTACGTGTACTAAATTTTACTCCGTATTAAAGTATTGTGATGCATCAAATCTTACGGAGTATAACATTTCTTCTAACACACTATATTTAACTTATGGTCAAAATGTACTGGAATTTGTCCAAAAAAATTAAACATTAAGAAGTGTTGTGAGAGGGACACAAGACATTTTATTATTGGAGTTGTGTTCTTCTCCAGCAATGTGTCCGGTAACTCTGGTATACACTGTGATGTTCTTTCTTTCTTGGTGCTAATATTATCCAACAAAATCAAAATTACCAAACCAATATAATTTCCTTAGGTTTTTTCCTTTAAAGGTTCAACTTAAAGAGTAAGTCTTTGGGAGTGTTAGCTTTTTGACTAAAGTAATTTCTTGAACATTAAATTTAATGTTACATTGGTGATGGTTTCTATTTTGATTAGAATCACTATCTATTGACTTTGTTTGAAAATAATATTTTTAATTATTGTTATTATTTTCATAAATTTCTTTCAATAGTTCTTTACATAAGATCTACTACGTCGTTGTACTTTTTTTTATTCTCTTAAATAATACTCCCTCCGTTCCTTAAAACAGTTCCTCTTTTATTTTTTTTGTTTTCCCAAAAACACTTCCATTTTTATAAAAATGGCTAATATATCTAAATTAAGTTTTTCCAATATACTCTATTCAATTTGCATTGATATAATAAGTCATTTAAATGATTTTTCTCTCTCTTTTTTCTTAGATAATAAGAGGATAATTAGAAGGTCAAACTATGAAATTAAATCTCTCCCAAGTCAAAACAGGAACTGTTTTAGAAGATAAAAATTATTAATTTTACAAACAAGTTAAAGCATCTTAAATATTTCAAAATGATCCGTTGTTATGCTACCGGTCTTAAGCTGATGCGGGTCAACAGAGCCTTGCCGTTTATAAATAAGAAGAGTGCATTGTTTCATGCCACGTCAGCCACCCCGTGAACCATCACAGAGCTAGCGTGCGGAAAAAATAAAAAGAAAAAAAAAGAAACTTAAATAAAAAAAACAAAACAAAAAAAAGAGAAGGAAAAGAAAGTAGGTGTACTAGATGATGAGACAGGTTGCCACTGAAGAAAACATTAACTCTCAAAGTACTTTTGTTGTTTTATGGAAGACTCTTTTGTTGCAGGTACCCAAGTGATGTGGATAAACATATTTTAGCCCGCCAAACAGGCCTTTCAAGAAGCCAGGCACGTCCCTTTCTCTCTCTCTCTCTCTCTCTCCCACTACCTACCCTTTTCACTTTAGGGGTAATCATCATTTCGGTATAAATAAGAATCTCAACAGTAAATATATATTCTTACCCTACTACTACCACGGAGTAATATTGGCTTGCTGAGTATTTGGAATACATACACCCCCTCCCACACCACTTTTGACACCAACTTTTTGGGTGTCAAACTAATTAATTAACACCTAAAATGTAGGTCATTTAATTTTGTAGACAAATTTTTCTATACTCTTAACATTCATGCTCATTTTATAGACTTTAGTGTATAAATATCATAATTGAATTGGTTTCTTTTTTAAAAAAAAATAAAAGATCTTCGTATCGCCTATGTAAAGTGTGAGAATGTCCACATTTCACATTTGAACTTTAGGATCATCGAAATATAACTATAATTTGTAACTTTATTTTCTAGATTGCTACCTAAAAAGGTTCCATTTTTAAAGGAATTCAAGTCTTAATTTTTCTTAGCACAAAAAAAAAGACTTCTAACAAAAAATCCTTAAGGATCCGTTTGATATACGGAATTGATGAAATTGGAATTGAATTGGAATTAAAATTCCATGGGATTCAATTTCATAGAATTGAATTCACTAATTCCAATTTATTTTTTGCACTATCAATTCTAAATCCACATAATTTTATGCTACCAAACACTATAATTGAAATTGAAGTTCTCAATTCCAATTCTATAATTTGAATTTCATCTACCAAACAAGGCTCAAATTCTTTTTGTTGGATGGAAAATAAAATAAAATATGTACTCCCTACTACATACTACAAACCAAGATACCAGAAAAAGAATAAATTTGAATGTATGGATTTAATGACATGATATCACATATGAATGTGTAGGTGTCTAATTGGTTCATCAATGCAAGGGTGAGGTTATGGAAGCCCATGGTGGAGGAGATGTATCTAGAAGAAACTAAAGAACAACAAAATCCACTTGTTGCCAACTCATCATCTGCTGATGACACCAACCCAGATTCCGGCAGCCGGCGGCCGGATCATCGGAACCCTAGGACGACGTCCGACGACGCCACGGAGGACCGTAAGCCCAACAACCTCGTACGCGTCGACATCTCCTCCATCTTCAACAACAACGACAACCCCGGTGGTGGGGCCACCGGTGCTGACGACGACCGCTGGCGGCCCATCTCCGGGGCAACGAGGGTTGGTGGGGACCACCGCTCGTTCGCTCACGTCGGGTTCTCGCCGTCGCCCGACCCAGCCTGGGCCCACGGGAACCCCGGCGGGTCTTTCGGGTACGGGGCGCGGGCCGGAGGCGGCGTGTCGCTGACGTTGGGGTTGCAGCAGCAAGGCGGGAGCGGAATGGGTCTGGCAGGCGCATTCTCTCCCTCCTCCACCGCTACCGCCTCGTCGGCGGCGGGGCCTCCGCCGCCACTCTACTACACTAGACCCGACCAAATTGAAGATTGCCAAACAGTCCCTTATCCGCTTTTGGACAGTGAAGGTCAGAACTTGCCGTACAGGAACTTGATTGGGGCGCAGCTGCTTCGCGATTTGGCGGGTTAATGAGGGAGATATTAAAAGATAATTATCATCTAAATTAATTAAAAGTTAGAAACTCAATCAGTGAAAAAAAAGAGGAATTAGTAGTATGATTAAACCATGTTGATTGATTAGTAGTGTTTGTCATTACCTTGCAGCTTCTTTACATTTACTGGTATTAATATATGACAAGTACAAGTAATATTTATAAATTTATATTTGTATATACTCAGTCTATTACTTAGGGTTCGTTTGGTGAACAAAAAAATTACAAAGACACTTGTGCATTTTTTGGAAGAGAAAAACACACACTTTATATAGAATTTGAAAGTTAAGACATGTTTTCGTTTTGAAAAGTATTGAGACTAATGGTGTACTTCTGATCGAAAATAAGAGTGATATTAGCTTATTTTGGTTTTTACCTGTTAGAAATGTAATCAAAGAAAATGTTCCCTTTTTGGGGTGGACTAAAAACAAAAAAAATACTTCCTCCGTTCCACAAAACCTTTCCTCTTTTGTTTTTTTTTGCTTTCCACAAAACACTTCCACTTTCTATTAAAAAACTACTTTTACTCCTACTTTTTCATACCCTACCTATCACATCATACTTTTTCACTAATAACCAAACTATCTCCTCTTATTTTTTTCCATCACATTAGGGCAAAATTGGAAAGTCAACCAAAATTACTCTTTCTTTATTTTTCCCCAAAATCAAAACCGGAAGGGTTTTGTGGAACGGAGGGAGTAGAAGATTATTGTGGGATGGAGGAGTATAAAATTAAACTTCTTCTATTCCGTTAAATGATTCAAACCTCCATTTCTTTTCTTTATCCAAAAAAAACGTCTCTTTTCCTTTGAGAAATTAATAAATTGTGTGTTTCATACAAATTCTTTCTTTGATCTCTACATAAAATTTATTAACTGCATATTTTCACTTCTATTAATTAATAGTCATGTATTCATGTTTAGTTAATTTCTAAACTTTATTGCGAGAGGGAGATGAGAGCAGCGCATTGCAAATATACTCACTCCATCCCGAAAGAGAATCTCCAAAAAGACTTAAGATAAAATTTGGGATGAGGTATGAACAACTGAATTGGAAATAAGACATTTAGGTTAAACTACATTAAAAGATTGAATCCAATCGATTAATTAGTTCAACTCAAAAACTTATACACTGATTATTTTTTCTTGAATTTCTGATGTGGGATGCACTTTAACAACTTAAAAGGTAAAAGGGAATTAGTTTTATTCAACAAGGCATTGAAATTAAAAAGAGAAATTATGTATTTAAAAATTATACTCCATCATAATTTCTACTCCCTCCGTCCCTTAAAAAACTTTTCATTTTGACTTTTAAAGAATTTAAGGGCAGTGTATTTTGGTGTTGACTTTCCAAAAATACCCTTTGATGTGATGGATAAAGTAGGATGTGATGGGTAGATTAATAGAGAAAAAGTGTGATGTGATAAGTAAGTTAAGAATTAATACGGGTAAAAGTAACTTTTTAATAAGAAAAGAGAAGTGTTTTTTGGGACGGATGAAAAAAAGAAAGGAGAAGAGTTTTGTGGGACGGAGGGAGTATAAAACATGAAATAACATGAATATACTCCCCTATTCCACAAAGTGTTACTCCTTTTTTGTTCCACAATCCCATTCTCTGTTTTATTAAAAAAAATTGTTCATCCATACTAACTTTTACTCTATCTATCACATCATATGTATTTATTAATTACTTGGTCCGTCCCTGAGTGTTTGTCCACTTTTGACTTTTGGAACCATTCATCTAAGCACTTTGACTTATCAAATCCTCTCAATGCGTAAGCCTAAAAATAGTCACGTGTGATCTTGTTTGATTCGTCTTATTAATATATAATTTTTATAATTTTTTAATATACAAATTACAAGATAAAATGGATTAAAGAAGTGCATTGGATGGTGTGCAAAAATGAAAGTGCACAAACACTCAGGGACGGAGGGAGTATTTATTTATCATATTCTATTTTTACACATCACATCAAGAATAATTTGGAAAAATCAATACCAAACATATCTTCTTCAAATCTCATAAAAATGAAAACAAGAAATATTTTATGAGACAGAGCAACATTATTTCATTTAAAGATCAAGTAATAAAAGTATACAAATAAAGGAAAAGTTATATAGTCCTAAAATAGTGCTCCATATTTGAGAACTTTATTTGGGAATGGGGGAGTGAGTTCCTTGACCTAGGGTTTTTTTGTGTGTAGATGTTTGTTTAGATAAGAACAAATTAAAAAAAGAACATATAGTAGTGATGAAGTGAGTCGGCGTGGACTAACGTGGAAGGGGTGTGAAATACTCTATAGTGGAATTGATTTGCGGTGGTGATTCGGTTTGAAGATCCAAAGTTGTAGGGGCACTTAATTGGAGATTTTTGTTTATGTATAATCACCCCAAAGAGACAAGTCAATTATAGGTTACAATCTTGAATTGTTCCCACTTATTTTCCAAGCCAAGCCAAGATTTGGACCTTTCAAAACCAAATTATAATCATCATTATTTCATGCATAACCAATTGTGGTCCATATATTTGTTTGAAATGGAAAGTGTATTGGTCGAGGCAGGTCAGGTCTCGGAATTGTTAATTGGTTCTAGGCACCGTATAGGGTGACACCAGTACTGATACTGGTGACCGACAGTAGAGTCTCCATTTGGTTACTTGATCTAGTTCCGGTATCAATTTTTCGGGCAAAGAGGAAGCATTGGTTCCTATATAGTACTCCCTCCGTCCCAAAAAGAATGGGACGGTTTGACTTTTTGGGAAATTAAGGGAGGGATATTATGGTATTGACTTTCCAAAAATACCCTTGATGTGATGGGTAAAAGTAGGATGTGATGGGTATATTATTAGAAAAAATGTATGATGTGATAAGTAGGGTATGAAAAAGTAAGGGGTAAAAGTGGTTTTTTAATAGAAATGTAACGGACTTTACGGGACGCAGTTTTTTCTAAACGTAACAAATTTTTTGAGACGGAGGGAGTATTTTCTAAACCACTTGGGGCCAACCGCGCTTATTTCTCATTTTTTATTTGTGTTTTTCCTCTTCAACACTTTTTTTCCTTTCTTTGTTTTTTTTTGAACTTCTCCCCTAGCTTAAGTGGTACGCAGAAAGTCCACTTTTAAGGATTCATGAGAAAGTTTTTCACGCGGGTTCGAGCATCAACTAAGACAGAGACATTGACTTTTTGTGCGTCATTAAGTTGAGAGAAAGAGTCAATCACACTAAAAAAGCTTTTTTAAAAAATTTTCTCTAATTTTTGCATTATGTTTTAAAAAATTCAAAATTGTTTGTGTTTGAAATAAAAATGAAAATGAAAAAAGTTAATATTTACTCTATCTATCTCATATCAAACATCTTCAATTTTTTTGTTTTTTTGAGTTTTTTTTTAAAAAAACTTTTTTTTGGAAGTTCAAAAGAGAAGATCGAGATTAAAAGAAAAAAATAGACATATGGAAAATTGAAATGGAAAAATAGAAATATACAAAAATACTGTTATACAAAAAGAAATTTTTGGAACGTCTAAAAAAGTCTTTTGGATTGAGATGTCCAAAAAAGAATATTCATTTTAATTTTTTTCTTTTCTTTTATTTCTTAATTTATTCTCATTTTTTGAAGTTCCCAAAAAGGTTTTTCTCTTTTATTTCGGAAAAAAAATAAATAAATTTAAGTTGAGATGTACAGATGCAATATATGTTAATTACTCCTTATTTTTATCTAAACATTGATAGTTTTAAATTTTAGAACATTAAAAAAATTTAAAAAGAAATTAAAAAACCTTCATTCATAAAAGAAACAAATAGAGAAAAAAGGAAAATTCTCAAAAATAAATGAAAAAAATGAGTACCGGTGCTTCATATAGTTTGGAAAATAGATACCAATACCCCATCTTAAGAAGCATTTTAAAACCACTAAGATTTAAAAAATAAGTTATTAAGAACAGATGAAGTACATATTAGATAGTGCTCATTTTCCAAAGCACAATGAGGGTGGTGAGGGGGGGTAGTGGAGCTATTTGGCGTAGAAAGAAAGGCAAGAAAGAATTGGCTTAGGTTTGGCAAAAGCCAACAGTTAATCCAACAATCATTTTTACAGACAAAGGTTATATATGAAGTTCACAAACAGAATGATCACAAACTCCACAAACTGACTATTTATGGTTTAAATTCTCATTTTAAAATTATTTTAGACTATTAAATTTTCTTTATTGAAGTTCACAAATGGTAAGTTTGTAAAGTTTGTGAAGTTTGAATTTGTGAACTAAGCATTTCTTTGTTACTGCATTATCTACTTTTTCCATCCCAAAAAAACATTTTAGCACCCATTTGACTTTCACAGTTCTTAAAAAAAAACAAATCTTAGAAATGATAATGAAGAGTGAGTAAAAAAAGATAGAATAAATAGTGTAAGAGTGTACTCCATGGAAAATGCTAGGATACACCAAAAGTGTACCCCAAACATCCCTCACCCCCTCCATCACCACACAAAAAAGGCAAGAAATTTTTAAAAAAATTTAAAAATAAAAACAAAATAAAATGAAGAAAAATGCTAGGGGTACACCAAAGGTGTACCCCATTTGTCCCCCACCCCCTCCATTACCACAAAAATGGGCAAAAATTTTTAAAAAAATTAAATAAATAAAGAGTAGATAAAAATGAATAGTGGAGAAGGGGGTGGGAGACAAATGGGGTATACATTTGGTGTACCCCTAGCATGGCTCTAAAATGAATAGTTAGTAGGAGGGTAGTGTACATTTGAGATACACTTTTTGGTGTACCCCTAGCATATCCCGTACTCCATATATGTAAGTAATGTCATGGGGGCGTCTGTTTGTAGGGTGGGGGTGGGGTGCAAATCCCCAGAACTGAAGTTAAGGTATAGTTGTGGTAGGATGGCATCTCTGACTTTGTGGGGCAAAAGAAATCTCTGCATGCTTTTTATCAGAAAAATTAATTAATTTTTTTAAAATAAAACAAAAAAAGTAGAAAAATTGAATTCAACCCCTGAGAGAGAGAGAGAGAGAACAAGAAATAGATGCCAAGAAAAGTTGCCAAAAGTGGGTACTGTGGATGGGGAGTGGGAGGCGCAATAAGGTGTGGTCCATTCTTTCCAACTGATTCCCTATTAAAACACCACACTACGTACTACACGCACCCCTT